GAGACAATTTCGGTTTGTGCTTCCAAGGATATAGAGGTAACCCCTATCATCAGTACACTGATGATAGGGGTTACCTGTAATGAACTGTATCATCAGTACACTGATGATACACTTCATCACACACTACAAGAGCATGAAGACTGCCAGCCAACTTGCTCATCAAGACCTTCCCCGACACCAAACGGAACTTACCTTGAAAGAGACAACAAATATGCCTATGCCTTCACCTGCTCACTTGGGGACCGTCAGCCCAAACCATGTCAGTATATAGACAAGACGATGTCAGTATATAGGCAAGACGATGTCAGTATATAGGCAAGACGATGTCAGTATATAGGCAAGACGATGTCAGTATATAGGCAAGACGATGTCAGTATATAGGCAAGACGACAATGTCTCTTGCAATGTGCATGACACTGAACAAACAACAAGACTCTTGTCATAGATCACATCCCTTCCACATACACAGACACAACCAGACCATCAATAACACCCAAATCCCCGACAGTTGCGACAAGAGGAGATTACATCTAGCTGAAGCATTACACATCAAACACTTTCATCCAACTATCCCCAGCAGACTTAACCGTAGACATGTCCCTGGGTTCTCAAGACCCAAGACAGAGCTGCTACTTGTGCCTCAGTTACTGTGCCAGCCAACCAATGAGCATGCAGAGCAAGATGACAGTCCCTTCGACGGGGCAACAAACTCACCTCTCCTCATCCCACAAGCAATATATACTGACACTCATGATAATTGGTGTTTAATTTCGTCTCTGCCTCCGGATATGTTGAAGAGTGCTTCAGCGAAACACACTTCAGTAACGTCTCGCGTCAAGCCCAATAAAGTTTTAAACTTAATTTCGTAGGGTTCATCCATTAATTCATCCATTCATCTATCCATCTATTCATCGACTTTGGTGATCTCACTCCTCTCAAGACACTAATCATCTGATGTGGTCGAGGGAATGGAGGAAGTTGTTGGGGCAAGTCATGGTGAAGTGGGAGGGGGGGAGGGTAGAGGGTAGAGGGAGAAGGGAAAAGGGGAAATGGGAGGGGGAAGGGGAAGGGGAGAGTGGAAGAGAGGCTGAAGAGAAGGGCGGAGGAGGAAAATCTGGATCGAACGCCATGTCATCACCAATTTCCTAATTAGGAGAACCTCACGTCCTCACAATATGCTCTATAGCAGAGTGGGAATAGGGGAGGAGGTCGTCTGGGGGGGTTTTGGTGGGGGTTGGAAATGGTTTATGCTTGGAATAGGCAGGGCGTGGAAGGTTGGGAGGCGAGACTACGAGCCCAGCATGTAGCCCTGTAGCCACGACACTGGCGGGAGCATGTTCCCGATCACTGCCCCTTCAATCATTCAGGGCGTCGCGCACGGTATATCGCGTAGTGTGTACAAAATTAAATGGTTCCCATACTCGACTTTACAGCCATCTACACACTCTCCTCCTAGGGTGGGAGGTTCGAACCTATGGCGATGAGGTGGCTATCTTGAGATTATCTTGAGATGATTTTGGGGCTTTTTTAGTGTCCCCGCGGCCCGGCCCGGTCATTCACACCACCAGCGACCCGAGGGGCTACCAGTTTCCTGTCTCAGCGCCTCGGAGTGGCGATCCTGAGGGGCAACGCCTGTCGTATCCTCAGCTCGACTTGTAATCTTTGATAAGGTCAAATAAAGAAAAAAGAATAAGAGAAAAGAGGAAAGGAGAGTAAAAGATCCTGATGGAATGTGAAGGAGAGTGCCTGAGAGTGAGGAGAGTGTCTGAGAGTGAGGGAGAGTGCCTGAGAGTGAGGGAGAGTGCCTGAGAGTGACGAAGAGTGCCTGAGAGTGAGGGAGAGTGCCTGAGAGTGAGGGAGAGTGCCTGAGAGTGAGGGAGAGTGCCTGAGAGTGAGGGAGAGTGTCTGAGAGTGAGGGAGAGTGTCTGAGAGTGAGGAAGAGTGCCTGAGAGTGAGGAAGAGTGCCTGAAAGTGAGAAAGAGTGCCTGAAAGTGAGAAAGAGTGCCTGAGAGTGAGGGAGAATGCCTGAGAGTGAGGGAGAGTGTCTGAGAGTGAGAAAGAGTGCCTGAAAATGAAGGAGAGAGCATACTGAAGAGTAACCAACAAAGACATCTTTCAGTTATCTTGGAAATAGAGGAGCTGGGGAATGAAGAGAGGAGAGTAGAGATAAGCGGATTAGATAACAGCAAGATCAAAATAGAGGAGAAAAGACTGAGAGTGAAGAAGAGAGGAATAAGAGAGAGAAATATGGTACCCTCTTTGGGCTGGGGTAATTAATACTAAGTTAATCGCCAAGTGGTGTGATGGTCTCGTTAGTGGGACCCGTGGGCGCTTCCCACTGGAGCCGTGTATCATGTCCCTAACATAGAGACACTTTGTTCCTGTCCAGTTATGTGTGAGTGGGTCTGTATTTATGAGTGTTTAAGTGTAGATCTTTGTGTGTGTGTGTGTGTGTGTGTGTGTGTGTGTGTGTGTGTGTGTGTGTGTGTGTGTGTGTGTGTGTGTGTGTGTGTGTGTGTAATTACCTAAGTGTAGTTACAGGATGAGAGCTAAACTCGTGGTGTCCCGTCTTCCCAGTACTCTTTGTCGTATAATGTGTGTATGTGTTATGCATTTACTAGGGGGGGGGAGGGGGTGAGGGAGGGGTGACTGGCTGTGGCAGAGACTCTTTTTCCCTCCTCTCCCTTCCCCTCTCTTTCCCCTCTCTCTCTCCCTCTCCAACTTTCTCCTCTCTCTCTCTCTCTCTCTCTCTCTCTCTCTCTCTCTCTCTCTCTCTCTCTCTCTCTCTCTCTCTCTCTCTCTCTCTCTCTCTCTCTCTCTCCTCTCTCCCACTCTCGCCCCTCTCCATCTTTCTCTCCCTCCCTCTTTTCAAACATTACCCCTTCTCCTTCCTTTTGTCCCTATCTCTGCCTGTCTATCTGTCTGTGGCTTCCTCAGTCTGTCTCGGTTTTTCTGTTTGGCTTTCAGTCTCCTTGACCTGTTCAGCCCGGTCTCTCTGCAGGCCTATGTCTGTCTGTTGTCTGTTTCCTTATATATATCTGTCTCTCATTCAGTCTGTCTTATTGTGTCTGTGTCTGGCTGACTGTCTGTATATGTCTGTCTGCCCCTCTCTCTTTTATACAAATAATATGATAGTTTCCCATTGGCGTGCATGTGGTCTGCCAGTAGGAGCAGGAGCCCCATAGCGGTTAGTTATCTTGAGGTTATCTTGAGATGATTTCGGGGCTTTAGTGTCCCCGCGGCTCGGTCCTCGGCCAGGCCTCCATCCCCCAGGAAGCATCCCGTGACAGCTGACTAACACCCAGGTACCTATTTTACTGCTAGGTAACAGGGGCATAGGGTGGAAGAAACTCTGCCCATTGTCTCATCGGTACGAAATATTGGAAAAAAAAATAATAGTGACCCGTTTGCCTTCAGAAACTGGTAGCACTTTAGAATGCTTTTCAAGCTGTGGGAGCTTATTTCATGCTACTACGGGCAAAGTATCACGATTAGAAAATGTCAGTTACACACAGAAATCACAATTGCGTGATGCATCAAATGAACAAATCCACAAGAGCCGATGTGGATTTTTACCATGTCGTAGCTCAGTCAATTAAGGCAGCGTCTGGGATGCTCTAGGACGTAGGTTCGAGTCCTCGTCACGGCCCTTGTGGATTTGTTCAAATGTCAGTTATTTTTTTTCCGAGATCATTGATAATTTTTCATATTACTATAAGGATTTTTTGTTTCATATTTAGGCATAGTTGGCATTGTGGGGTTTAGTATCTGATCGGCAGTACGCTGTTCTTTCTTATATTCTGGTGACCCTGATTAGTCTTTGTCAGCCCCGTACCTCAGACCATTCCCCCTGCAAGGTTGAGTGAGGCTACCCCCGAGCGTCTGTCCTACATCCTTAGACAGAAAAATAATAAGATATTTTCTCCTATACATATTGATATCTAAATTTCATTCCAAACTTGTAATTTTGTTATATTTTGAAGCAAAAGTAACTATGCAGCCTTTTCTATCCTCAATAATCTAGTTATTTCTCAGTACCGCTTAACTTTAATAAAATTCAACTGATATTAAATGGCAGCTTAATCATTAAAATATGCTAATATTGTATCGTTTATAAAACCTTTCGCTAAGACACAGCGAAAACAAATATATACTGCTTAATTAGACGCGACGAACCTTGAGTAGCAACCCAAGTAGTAGGAGAAAGCGAGTACTGTTATTGCAGTACTTAACTGGACGGTCTCCCGGTGTAATACTTAACTTTATTTATTTATTTATTTATATACAAGAAGGTACATTGGGTTTGAGAGAATACATATCATAGTATTTACAATCTTGTAAAGCCAGCAGTACGCGCAGCGTTTCCGGCACAACTGAACACAGTTTCGGAACTGTGTGGTTTGATTTAGCAGTCAATTTGCCTGCTCCTTTTAGGTATAGACTGGTGTGTTTAGTGAAATAATTGTGTTGCGCTGATGTCATAGATTTAGCTGATGCTTTGGAGTAGTACTTGAGTATTTCTTCTGTCTGTCTGTCTGATTTTGACTGTCTGTGGCAGCAAGGGGAAAGATGGTAAGCGGTACATAGAGGTCTTGCAGGAAAATGTAGGCCTACTAGACGAACCGTCACTTAGAAAGGCGGAGTCCAAGAGCTTTTTACAGCTCAATCCTGCAGGCACAAATTTGTATGCCTCTCTTCTTCTAAGTCTCACGACTAAGTCAACATCATTATTTTTTCCCGTCTATTTCCATCACCCATTTTTGAGTGTGAGTTTTGATTTGGGTAACATGACATAAATATCAGTTTAATTATACCAGACGACTCTTTTTCGCCCGCCGTGAGTGGTCGCTTTGATTACTTTACATAGATGTGTTCTAGAGATGATTTCTCTGTCTGTCTCTCTTCCTCCATCCCTGGCACTCTCATTCAGCCTCTCACACTCACACAGCCTTTCGCACACTAACTCTCACTCCGTCTCTCTCTCTCTCTGCTCCTGACAGTCATGTGGAGCAGCGGGCCCCACCAGCGTGGACGGAGCCCTCCTGTCGGAGGCCCACGGGCTGGTGGCCGACATGTTACAAGACCCCCATCTGCCACCCACAGTCGTCTCGGGGCTCCAGGCTCTCTATCTCCTGCTGGCGCCGCCCTCACACGCCGCCCCTTCCCCAAGGGGGCACCGGCCTACCCCCTACTTCCACCTCTCCCAGGACGCTTACGCCTCGGGCTCCGACACCGAGGAAAACCCATACACGGGGGAGAGGCCGTCGGTCCATCGGGTGAGTAAGGACGGATGATTTGTTGTTGTTGTTTAAGATTCAGCTACTGGGAACAAAAAGTTCCAGGCAGCACGGGCTATGGTGAGCCCGTAGTGGACTTACCTGGCACAGGAGCGGGGCAAGTAGCACGGGCTATGGTGAGCCCGTAGTGGACTTACCTGGCACAGGAGCGGGGCAAGTAGCACGGGCTATGGTGAGCCCGTAGTGGACTTACCTGGCACAGGAGCGGGGCAAGTAGCACGGGCTATGGTGAGCCCGTAGTGGACTTACCTGGCACAGGAGCGGGGCAAGTAGCACGGGCTATGGTGAGCCCGTAGTGGACTTACCTGGCACAGGAGCGGGGCAAGTAGCACGGGCTATGGTGAGCCCGTAGTGGACTTACCTGGCACAGGAGCGGGGCAAGTAGCACGGGCTATGGTGACCCCGTAGTGGACTTACCTGGCACAGGAGCGGGGCAAGTAGCACGGGCTATGGTGACCCCGTAGTGGACTTACCTGGCACAGGAGCGGGGCAAGTAGCACGGGCTATGGTGAGCCCGTAGTGGAGTTACCTGCCACAGGAGCGGGGCAAGTAGCACGGGCTATGGTGAGCCCGTAGTGGACTTACCTGGCACAGGAGCGGGGCAAGTAGCACGGGCTATGGTGAGCCCGTAGTGGACTTACCTGGCACAGGAGCGGTGCTATAACTTGGGAAGGATGAGATTATTCCTTTCTTTCAATTGGTTTCCTGCGTCCGTGATTCATTCTAGCGCTTTGTCCCTGTCTTCTTCCTCCTTCAGTAATAATTTTATCAGGGGTGTGGATGCTGTATTTCCACTACTTTAATATGACATCTTTCCTCTCTAGTCAAGGGGTATAGTCACTTCAGGGGTCGCCATACACTGTGGTACTTTCAAGACGTTTCATATACCATTTATGAAATCGTGTATGATGCGATATACTTCACGGGGCGTATATACACGTGAAAATACACCTCCTATATACATCCTCGGCTCGCAAGCGACTCTCGAAAAAAAAAATCAATGTTCTTATCGCACAAAATACTCAGTATAATATGGAGCCGATTTGGCCAACTTGCTAGAGAACCAGAGCATTGTCAAAATAACAATTAAAACAACATCTCGCAATATGACAGAATTGTACTTAATATATTTCAAGAACATTGTCAATATTGCATATAACTGAAAACAAGTTACTTTCTAACTTGCAACACCCCAAACTATCAACATATATAAAAAAAATAATAATAGAAATATGCAGGCGATGAGTCACAATAACGTGGCTGAAGTATGTTGACCAGACCACACACTAGAAATTGAAGGGACGACGACGTTTCGGTCCGTCCTGGACCATTCTCAAGTCGATTGTGATGAGGAGGTAGGGACAGGCAATAAATAGGCAAGAGAGAGCTGAGGAGGAAAGTCAGGAAAGTAATAGAAATATAAAAATGCTGTTAATATTTATAACAATAATAATTATATAAATATAAAAGGGGTATGCCACCTCTGGTGCAAGAGTAGGGACCCATAGCCTCGATGAAGAAAATAAAGAGTACTCAGAGAAGACCTTGTGGATCCTCATTGAACACTTTGATATTTTCTTCTACCACTTAAAGGCAGGGAGCCGGTCGGCCGAGCGGACAACACGCTGGACTTGTGATCCTGTGGTCCCGGGGTCAATCCCGGGCGCCGGCGAGAAACAATGGGCAAAGTTTCTCTTACCCTATGCCTCTGTTACCTAGCAGTAAAATAGGTACCTGGGTGTTCGTCAGCTGTCATGGGCTGCTTCCTGGGGGTGGAGGCCTCGTCGAGGACCGGGCCGCGGGGACACTAAAGCCCCGAAATCACCTCAAGATAACCTCAAGATCTGAAGATAACCACCCCTATTCTTTTAGTTAGAGAGAGAGAGAGAGAGAGAGAGAGAGAGAGAGAGAGAGAGAGAGAGAGAGAGAGAGAGAGAGAGAGAGAGAGAGAGAGAGAGAGAGAGAGAGAGAGATGGTGGCACTAGAACCTGGACCATTTTTATCATGATCTTCGCTTTATTGACGAATAAACATTCGCATTTCTCTCTATCCAACTATTCCATCTTTTTTATCCTATCTTGACTGAAGAAGGTCTCATACCTCGCCCATCCTGCGAGCAACAGCCGGCCCTTCACGAGGAGCAAGGCGAAGGGATGTGCGGAGCTCTTTCAACTTCTGGAGCGAATCCGGGGTATCCGTGGTGGATTAGAGGAGGCAGGGATGATGGATAAGGCGGAGGTGATGGATTAATGGGAAAGTGCTGATCGATCAGGGGGTGGGTGGGTATATAGAGTGATTGGATTAGAGGTCAGGCAGTGGTGGATTAGGGGGGGGGCAGAGGTGATGGATTAGGAGGCAGGGGAGTGGTGGATTAAGGGGGCAAGGGGTGGTGGATTAGAGGATGGGGTGGTGGATTAGGGGGCAGGGGGCTGGTGGATTAGGGAGCAGGGGTGATGGATTAGCGAGCAAGGGTGATGGATTAGGAGGGGAAGGAGACGGTGGATTAGGGAGGACGGGAAGATGGATTAGTAAAAGGGTGAGGGAATTGAGGAGCGAAGATAATGTGATTAGATAGCGAAACTGAGAGGATTAGGGAGCGAAAACGAGGGGATTAGGTAGAGAAGATGAGCGGGATTAGAGAGCAAAGATGTGCGATTAGGGAGAAAAAGTGATTGGGATTAGGTAGAGAAGATGAGGGAATTAGGGAGAGAAGATGATGGGGGGGAGGGGAATTGGGATGGGGTGAGAGAGAAGTAGTATCGTGATCCCTCCATCCCATCCCATCCCATAATACTCCCATCCCAGCTATTTCCATCTCTTGATCCCACCATATCCCTCCATCCCATTATATCCCTCCCATTGTGTCTCTCCATCCCATGATACCCCTACCCTCCCATTGTGCCCCCTACACCCCCATTATATATGCACCTACACACCCCCATTATGTCCCTACAGCCTCACTTGTCTCTACTTAAAAGCATTCCCTACGGTTACCATGGCAACCTCTGAGGCAACAATGCATCCTCTCATTACAGACTCCTGTCAGTAAGACTTTAACTGTTACGCTCTCTCTCTCTCTCTCTGTCTGTCTGTCTGTCTGTCTCTCTCTCTCTCTCTCTGTCTGTCTGTCTGTCTCTCTCTCTCTCTCCCCTTCTCTGTCACTTTCTCCATATTTCTACCTCTTTATCTCCGTCTTTCTGTCTCTATTAACTCATTAACTATTAACTTATTAACTTAACAAGATTAACTGGACATGTATCCCCCTTTCCCTGTCACTTACACACACATGTGTTACAGAACACGACACATAGAGTTAGATCCATTACTCTAGCACAGATCTACTCTATATTCCTTATGTTCTTCTACACCTGAGAATGAATTATATGTAAAGTTAAAATTCAAAGATGATTTTACATTTTTATGGTCTGACGTTGAGAGACGCGATTCGTTCATCCTGTCAGCATTTTCAGGCGAAGATATATGAGTTTATATATGAGGCAGAAGCGAAGATATATGAGTTTATATATATGAGGCAGAAACGAAGATATATGAGTTTATATATGAGGCAGAAGCGAAGATATATGAGTTTATATATGAGGCAGAAGCGAAGATATATGAGTTTACATATACCCAACCCTCGCTCAGACGAAAGCAGGTTGGCGAGGGAATCTGTAGGGTGAACAAGGGACTTTTATAACACAACTGACTAACGCTTGCACAGTTGCTGCCATTTCAAGGACGGTGATCTACGGGCTCACCATAGCCCGTGCTACTTGGGACTTTCTGTTCCAGGTAGCGAATCTTTAACAACAACAAGGCCGGTGAACAGCCAATGAGGAAGAAGTAAACATAACAGGACCTGTCGGGGTGTAGACCCGCCAATCACCTGGCTACAAGTAAATAGAGATGATTGGGGATACAAAAAAAGTTTACAATCGACGTGATAATGGTCCACAAGGATGGACCGAAACGTCGTCGTCTCCTCGTCTTCTGACGTGTGTGGGTTGGTCGTCATGTCTTCAGCCCCGTTATTGTGATTCATCGTCTGTATAACGATAACCTAGCACCCTCTATAACGATCCAAGACCCCCCTATAACGACCCAAGACCCCTCTATAACGACCCAAGACCCTCTATAACGACCCAAGACCCCTCTATAACGACGCAACACCCCCTATAACGACCCAACACCCCCCTATAACGACCCAACACCCCCCTATAACAACCCAACACCCCCCTAAAACGACCCAACACCCCCCCTATAACGACCCAACACCCCCCTGTAACTACCCAACACCCCCCCCTATAACGACCCAACACCCCCCCATATAACGACCCAACACCCCCCTATAACAACCCCCCCCTATAACAACCCAACACCCCCCCCTATAACGACCCAACACCCCCCCTATAACAACCCAACACCCCCCTATAACAACCCAACACCCCCCTATAACAACCCAACACCCCCTATAACGACCCAGCACCCCCCTAACACAACCCAACCCCCCTATAACAACCCAACACCCCCCTATAACGACCCAACACCCCCCTAAAACAACCCAACCCCCCTATAACAACCCAACACCCCCCTATAACGACCCAACACCCCCCCTATAACGACCCAACACCCCCCTATAACGACCCAACCCCCCTATAACGACCCAACAACCCATCTTTTATTGCGAGGATTGAGTAAATAGGCCTCGTTAAGGTGGGAAATGGCCAGCATAATGGAGAAGGTAATTTAACCAACATGTTAGAGCGATGACGTCAATGGCTGAGTGATATTGATGCCGTGACCTGAGCAGGTTAATGAGGCAGGTGATAAGGGTGACCTCAGCAGGTTAATGAGGCAGGTGATAAGGGTGACCTCAGCAGGTTAATGAGGCAGGTGATAAGGGTGACCTCAGCAGGTTAATGAGACAGGTGAGGGGTGACCTCAGCAGGTTAATGAGGCAGGTGAGGGATGACCTCAGCAGGTTAATGAGACAGGTGAGGGGTGACCTCAGCAGGTTAATGAGGCAGGTGAGGGGTGACCTCAGCTGGTTAATGAGGCAGGTAAGGGTGACCTCAGCAGGTTAATGAGACAGGTGAGGGTGACCTCAGCTGGTTAATGAGGCAGGTGAGGGTGACCTCAGCTGGTTAATGAGGCAGGTGAGGGTGACCTCAGCTGGTTAATGAGGCAGGTGAGGGTGACCTCAGCTGGTTAATGAGGCAGGTGAGGGTGACCTCAGCAGGTTAATAACGCCACGAATTGGTCAATATTATAAATATTATTAATATTAATTAACACTTACCATGTCGCGGTATAGTTATCTTGAGGTTATCTTGAGATGATTTCGGGGCTTTAGTGTCCCCGCGGCCCGGTCCTCGACCAGGCCTCCACCCGCAGGAAGCAGCCCGTGATAGCTGACTAACACCCAGGTACCTATTTTACTGCTAGGTAACAGGGGCATAAGGTGAAAGAAACTCTGCCCATTGTTTCAGTTGACTAGAGCACGTCTGGGAACACTTAACACACAGGTTCGAACCCAGGCCCTTGTGAATTTGTTTATTATTATCACGTATATTGTTCGAATATGTTGGTATACGCCTTGTAACTTGGTGGTGTTCCTTCTTCAGCGTAGCGGACGCCGGAGCGTGGCGCCCTCCTTACTGCGACGCATGAGTACCTCCACCTGGACCACCACCACCAGCGCCACCGGCATGCCCACCCTGGAGCCGACCCCCTGCAGGAAGAGGGCCTCCTCCTTCAGGGCCGTCGTCGGTAAGTGGTGCTCCTGGCACCAGTGTGTCTTGGGGTTTCTTTAGTCTACCTTCTTGTTAGCATTAGTGTCGTTTTCTTTGAATATATATGTTGTCGTTTTCTTTGTATATATATGTAAACAAACCTTGGGTGGTCCCAAAGCACATGTATATCACAGACTATGATCGCTCAGGGGATTCGAACCCAGGCCACCAGGGGGGTCTTCCCATCAGGAGCACTGGTATTGTGACCACTGCGCCAGAGATGGACAATTGGTGTCAGAGCT